CCTCCCGGCCCCGCGCTGTGCGTCCGCACAGCGGTGCTCGCCTGTCTCGCGGCCCCACGTGCCAGAGCGGTGCCCCGGGCCACCCGCCCCGAGCTGGGGGGGCCCAGGCTGGAGAGCGGGGCAGCCCCCGCGGGGGCTTCCCCGCTGTCTCATCTCTGTCTTCGGCCCGAGGCCGGGCTGTGCTTCTCGGCCACCGGCTCAGGACCCCGGAGGTGGCACAGACGCACCCCTGCTGGCAGAGGGGGAATATGACTGAAGCTTTAGACTAAGCAGGAAAGGTCTCACCTGGCACATCCTCGCTCTGCCCCCAGCACACCTGCCTCCTGCCCCCTCTCTTGGGCACAGGGTGGTTACAGCAATTTCTGTTCACCACGGAAAATGTACTCCTGTCACCATCCTTGTTGCCTGGTCCATGGTTTTTTTCCTGCAGCTCCCCGCCAGGGTCAGGTGGAAGGTGAGGGGTGGTGGGGGAAGAGGACACTGGGGCGCTACAGGGGACTTCAGGGTTGGTCCGGCTGTGGGGCTGTCCCCTCTGTGCTTGGCTGGATGATGCTGGCAAGACACTGTGGAGAAGTTAGGTGTGGTGGGGAAAGTAGCAGCTGAGCTGTGGGCAAGGAGGAGAGTGGGTCTGCAATGGGGAAGGGGCAGTGCTGGGTCAGGACTGTCGAGCAACCCGGCTGCCAGTGTTCTCCTACCTGGTCTGTGGGAAGCAGCATGGCCGAGAGCAGGGGTGTAGGCAACCCCGGCACGGGTACCAGAGTGTGGCACATGAAGGCACTTCTTGCTTGGCATGCACACCTTGGGGTGGGCAGCAGGGAAGGGGCAATTTGAGGTTGGGGGGTGTTCTTGGTACTTTGCTCAAAAGGGTTGCCAGCCCCTGGCCTAGAGGATAAAGTACAGGAATGGGCTTCAGGAGGCAGGCGGGGCCTGTTCTTGGGGCTGTCTCCCTGGCCTGTTGGGTAAGCCTAGACAAAGCACTTTGTCTCAGTTCGTCTACCTGTAGGAAGGGGATCATGGCTGTCTTCTGTAGAGGGCTTGGAGATGTCTACATAGACATCATAGAGAAGCAGGACTGGAAGGGACCGCCACAGGTCATCTAGTCCACCCCCTGCCTGAAACAGAATCATCCCTATCCAAACCATCCCATATAATCCATTGCCTTTCCTCTTTAGTAAAATTACCAGCAACTTTGACAAAACACAAGCCCTAACGCCCTAACATGCCGCAGGTAAAGCAAGGGGCCCTGGGATCGGAGCTCTGTGCTGTTGTGGCTCATGCAGCTGGTTCTGGAGGTCCAGCCAAGGGCGGGCTTTGGAGCAGACTGGGCAGTGGGTACAGAGGGCAGGGACAGCAGCAGCCACCCTCCCTCAGAATATGGAGCTGCTGCTCCGTTAGCACCTGGACAAAGATCACCACCAGCTGGAGTGGCAGGGGTCTCCAGGCTCTCCTCTGGCTGTCTAAATGCAGCCAGGCACAGGGCAGGCTTGTGGGGCTCCCTGGTTAGTGCCCGACATAGTTCTGTTGGTGCCACTGGCTTCAAGCTTTGTTTTCTTCGGAAAGCAGGTTGGTCCAGTCAACCCCAGCCTGGGTTTCGGCAGAAGTTTCTAGCACCCACCTGCCGTGTCCTCCAGCTACCTAGCAGAGCAGGGGCTGAGCCACTGCTCCTTAATGCTCCCAAGCTGGAAGGGTAACAGAGAGCAAGCACAAAACTTATTCCTTGGCTGAAGACTCGGAGGACTCCTGCCAGACCCAGCAGCTTCCCACACATGCCTCTTCCCTCCCTTTGGAGGGAAACACTATAGATTTTTAACCAGTGGCCATTTGTAAATCTCTCCTGGCATCTGTCTTGTACCCCAGGTGCCCACTTGGATCATCTCAGACCTGGGTCCCCTCAGTAGGATAGTCTCTCCTGGGGTGCTGTGGGCTCTTACTGGCAGCCTGCAGTCTGAGCCACTTGGATAAGAAAAGGAGTTTTACACACTAAGCCCCATGGCTTGTGCCTCAGGCCTTATTCCCCCTTTCGGAATCGGAGCTTCTATGTGCATGCCCCCAGTACTCTAGTCCAGAGGTTCCTAAACTTTGTCTTATTGTGTACCTCCTTCCAGATTTACCAGCTGCCTCTGTACCCCAACCAGCATACATTTTATATTTTAACCCCTTAAATGCCAATTATAACAAAAAATAAATCTGTCATTACACAATTTCTCCTGCTCCCAAGAGATGTCTTGCATACCCCCAGGGGGATGTATACCACAGTTTGGGAATTCTGCTCGGGTCCATCAGATGGGCTCCCAGCCTGCCACCCCCTTTCTATGCCCCCAAACCACCCAAAGTTGTTTCTCTATCTTCTCCCACCCCACCCTAGCAAAATTTCCCTCCTGATAGGGCCAGGTGTATCTGCCAAAGCAGGGCCCTGGTTAGGGCCCCAATAAGCTGTTTCCCAAAGTTGTGAAGAGCTGCACCAACAAGGGGATAGTGAGCTCCCAGCTGCACCCCCCTGCCTGCCCCCCCCCCATCTCGGTTGTGCCCTTACAGCTGCTCCAGTAGCCACAGGAGGTAAAATTACCCCCATCCTGCCCTGAGGTGCACCAGGGCTTCTGGTGCTGTCTCTCCAGCCTTGGCATAGGAATGAGCTGTGGTTCCCAGATGTGAGGGTGTGAGTTGCTGGAGATGCTGCTTCTAGTGCCATCATATCCCTTTGCTCAACCAGCCTCACAGGAGAAGCAGGAGAGCAAGTTGGACAGTTCTCTGCACCAGGGATGTCAGACTCATCTGGCCGTGTAAACCAGATGAGTGTTGTGGGGCTGGTCCGTGGGCTGGGTGAACACTGCATGGCCAATCCCACAAGCCAGATTGGTCCTATAGACCTCACCCCCTCCCTCACACATGCTAAATCCAGCACATGCACTTACTCCAGCTGGTCTGGGACTGCACCACACATGGCATCCACCCTGACTCATCTGGGACCCATGCTGAAAACAGTGCCTGCTATGGCTAACCAGAGCAGACACCACCTGCAGCGCAGGGCTTGTCCAGCACACGCCACATGCAGTGCATGGGTCAACTCCAGGCCCAGGGGCAGCACTGGGAGCAGGATGATGGGACTGTGTGGGCCATATCTTTGACACCCCTGTTTTGCATGGGCCATGGTCCCAGCAGTGGCTTAATAAGAGCACGGAGCTGTTGAGAGTTTGTATTTATTGAGCTTACCACAAGAGAGCAGCAGCTCTGAGGCTGCAGTGGGCACCTGGTGCTGCTGCTACCTGAGTCCAGCCTGTCCCCTAGCTGCAGCTTGAGCAATGCAGAACTGAGTGCATCTCAGATCCAGGGATGGTAGCACGGGGAGGGGGGCTTTATCTCCAAAAGCAGTAACTGTCTTCACAAACTTGCAGCCATTCTAAAGCCCCATTCCCCTCCCCACCCAGCCTGCCCCACAGGAGAAAAGGGAATGGGGACTGAACAGTAAAGGGTGAGGGAGAGGGGGGCTCTGCTGGGTAGGCAGGGCCCTTCTCTGGCACCTGCTGGCTGATTAACATAAATCACTTCCAGGCATTGAGGAACTCCCAGCCTGGTGGGTCAGTGTTGTCATCCTTCTGGTGCGTGTGGGGAAACTGAAACATAGAGCGGCAACAGGTTCCCTAGGGAACCAGGGAAATGCAGTGACTCCTAGGCAAGGTCCCAGCACAAACCGTGGGGACTGTGACTATGGGATGGTAGGTATGGTTCCATACACTGCAGAAGGCTGGAGTGGGGCGACGGAAATCCGACACAGGGCCTGGCAGTGCCTTCCACCAGCAGAATCCTGCTGCTCTGTCCCAGGTGTGCAGTACAGCATGGGGGCCAGGCCAGTAGGCCTGTGCGAAGCGGCTAGTATTCGCTTCAGATTCAGATTCAACCGATTGCAGGACAGTGATTCGATTTGGTGATTCAAATCACTGTCCTGAATCGATTCGGCCGCCACCGCCCGCTCTCCCAGCTCCCGGCTCTTTGGAAAAAAAAAAATCACAGCATTCACTGGCTGCTGCCAGGCAGGGGGGGCCAATCCCTGCTGCCCCCACTGCATGGGGGGCCCTGCCATGAGCCGACCCTGCAGCAGCCAATGAGTGCACGGCTTTTTTTTCCTTTTTTTTTTTTTTAAGAGCTGGGGCGGGTGGGCCAGCCATTGACGGGTCTGGGAGAGCGGGCAGGGGCCGGGGAGCTTGTGGCAGAGCCCCCCATGCAGCGTGAGGCAGTGAGGGGTTGCAGGGATTCCCCCCCTGCCTGGCATAGGTAAGGGATGGGGCCTGGCAGGGGTTCTCCCATGGTCCCCTGCCCCCTCCTCCAGCCCCCCCTTCCCTGTCTGCTACTTACCAGCAGAGTCTGGGTCCAGCTCCCAAATCTCTGAAGCTCTCCAAATCTTTTCCAAATCAATTCAGAGAGCTTCGAATCAATTCAGACCTTTTACTTGGTCTCCTGATTCAATTGGGATTCGGAGAGTCAGCCGCCAAATCAGGCCAAATCTCCTCCAAATTGAATCAGCAGGCCAGGACCTGCTTGGAGCTAGTTTGGTGACTCTTCTGGGCATGCTGCAGAGCCAGGGGCTGTGGTGTGAGAGAAGCCCAGGTTTGGCTGTGCAGAACAGGTGAGCCAAGGGTGAGGAGCAAGGCACTGTCCTCTGTGCCATCCCTGCCCTGTGGAAAGGGCTGGTGCCTGGCTTCTCATGGGGAGTGACTCTGTACATGCGTCTTGGACTTTCAGGATAGGAAGACTAAAAGGATCAGTGGGGGCTGGAGACTGCAGCAACCCTTGGAGTGTTACAAGGTCACAGCAGTGAAAGGCTGTGCTCTCACGTGAGGGCCTGGGGCTGTTCTTGTGCTGCTGTTCACAATCCTGTGGCAATCATAAACGTTTGTCAAATGCTTGGAGGACCTTGGGTGACAAGTTCTAGACATGGTCACCTATAGCAGTCTTGCAAACCTACTCTGCCCAGACCACAAAGCTGGTAGCTTTCTGGGGTACAATTGCAATTAGAATAAATAGCAAAAAAAAACCAGATTCATTTTAGCATCAAAATCTCTCTGAGGTGTTTTTCTGCTTCCAGCACCACGGCAATTTAAGAGCTTCACAGCCCTCAGGAGCACAGCCCCTTCCCTGTGCCAAGGGAGCTGAAAGGCAGAGAGTCTTGCCCAAGGTTTTAGAGGGAGTCTGTGACAGAACAGAACATGGAGCCCTAAGTTGCCAAGTCCTACGCTTGTTCTTTAACCACTTGGTAGCCCTTCCCCTCTTTTGCCCTTGGGTGCTTCAGAGTAGCCAGAGGCTCCATCAGAGCTGAGTCAGGGCTTCAAAGAAGCGGACATGGGATCCCTAGAGTATCCCACTGGGAGAGCTGAGAAAACTAAACCAGCACAGGGATTCCCAATTGTTTTCCAAAGCAAACCATGGCCGGTTTCACCTCCAAGCAGATGGAGACCGGGATGTTCCCACCAGCCAGAAACATATAGGGCAGGGGTGGGCAAAATACAGCCCGCAGACTGGATCCAGCCCACCAGGCCATTCTATCTGGCCCATGGATCCCCCCAAAAATTTAGAAAATTAATATTTATCTGTCCCAGCTGTCTGTCAAAGATAACAGCAGCCAGGGGCAGTCAGACTCAAGGGAAGCACCAGTAGGTTCCTGCAATAGCAGGGCCTGCTCGGGCCCCCCCCCCAGCTGGAAGCCCCTGGCTAGCAGGGACTTCTGGCCTGGGACTGTGGGGCTGTTCATGCCTCCCTGCCCCGAGCGGGAAATTCAGGTAAGAAGGGGATGGCGGGGCAGGCAGGAAGGTGGGGAAAGTGGTGGCGGGGGTGGGAGGAGTGGAAGCAGGTGGACATGCAGGGAGTGCAGGGCCCACACCAGTGTCCTGGGGCCAGTGCTGCTGGGACCCAGAGCGGGGCGGCAGGAGCGTGGGGCATGGGCAGCACTGCACCAGCAGGGAGAGAGGGGAGTTGGCCCAGCTCCATAGAGCCCCAGCCAGCTGGTACCCCATGCTCCTGCCGCCCGCTCTGGGCCGTGCCTTTGCTGGCCCCGGGGCACCGGCATGGGTCCCGCACTCCCACCCAGCTGCCGTGTGCCCGCTCACTCCTATCCCCGCCTGTCCCAGCCCCGCGGCACAGGCAGGGACGACTGCGAACAGCCCTGACCCCACACGCCCTGCACTCACCCATCCGGGCTGAGCAGCGGTGGGGAACAAGCTGCTGCTCAGTGCAGGGGAAAAGCAGCCCCTCCCCCTCCTGCCGCAGGCACTCCCTGCGGTAGCCACCCAGAGCCCACGCAGGGCTGTCCTGCCTGTCTGCCACATCCCCGCCGCCCATGGGGCAGCAGTGGCAAAGGACAGCAGGCACAGGCAGCCCTGCATGGGCTCCAAGTGGCTGCCACAGGGAGTGGTGGGAGAGGGAGCTGCCGCTTTTCACCCGCCCAAGAAGCAGCAGTTCGTGCCCCACTGTCGCTGCTGCTCAGCCCATCAGGCGAGCCCAAAGCTGCTGTGGGGCCCAGGGTGGCAGCAGCAGTAACAAACAAACTGCAGCTGAGCACAGGGGAAAAGCGCCTCCCCTTCCACCACTGCTGGGCAGTCCACTGGCTCTGTGCTGGTGCCACTGGCTCTGTGCTGTCCAGCGTGGCAGCAGTGGCCATGTGGAGCAACCGCGCTGGGCAGTGCAGAGCTGGCAGCAAAAGAGCTGTAGCAGAATCTCATGTGGTGTGGGCTCCCCATGGGCGACTGACACGTGCCCCCCTGACATGAATCAGTGACCGCAGCAGCCGATCTCACTCACCAAAGAGCAGCTGCGCCGCTTCTGGAAGTCCTGCAGCCACTTCCGGAAGCATCGTGGACACTTTTGCAGCCAGCCCCACTCCCTGCCCAGTGCTCACAAGAGGGACACTGGTGCTCCTGCTTGCCCCCTGCCCATTGCCTAAACAGGAAGTGCGGCCTGACAGGGGGTGCACCAGTGCACCCCCGTGCACTGCCTATGCGTCACTCCTGGGGTTCCCACAGCAAACACTGCCCAGTGGTGGCAAGGAGGGGGGTCGCTTTCATCCACCCCAGCAACAGTTTGTGCCCCACTGACGCTCAGCCTGATGGGCAAGCCTAGAGCGCAGGGCCCAGGCTGGCAGCAGCAGCAGGGAACAAACTGCAGTTGAGCATTGTGGAAAAGCAGTCTCTCTCCTGCCACTGGCACTCCCTGCAGCAACTGCTTGGAGCCCATGTGGGGCTGCCT